AGGGAAATATCTGGCTCTTTAGCAGCAAAATGCTCCACTATGTTCACCAACTACCAGTCGTTTACTTTGTCCGTCTGGTTTGCGGCTGAGCAAGCAGTGTACGTTGGGGGTTTTTGTGGCTTTTTTTGTTGGAACAGAGCTTATGAAAGCCGTGAGAGTAAAACTGAACAGTAAAGTTATTGGTTGTAAAATGTAAACAATGAGCACAAAGATGTTAAAATACTCTTCATTGAGTGGTTGAGCCATTGTTAATATAAGATATTGATTAGAGCAGCATTCAGTAATATCATTCATTTCTGTGAGAGTTCACTTTGTATCATAATGCATTCACTAAATTGCATAAACCTTTTTTTCTGTTGCTGTCTTTTTAAAGACATACAGTAAATAGCTTTTTCTTTTGATTTCCCTCCCTAATTTTACTCCCAGATTCTTTGTGTTTTTTAGTCTCTTTCTCTCCATCTACATGTTTTTTTCTTTCGTTACTGTGCCTGTCTCAGATGTTTTTACCTCTCTTTCATTGATTTCCGTCTCTTTGTCTCATTTTTTTCTCTCACCATGTATATTTTGTTCTTTTTTATTTTGTGTACAGTATGTGTCCCTGTCACTTCCTCTCTCCCTCTCATCATGGGGTTCTCTCCCTTCTCTCTCATCTGAGAAGCTGCCTTCTCTTTCATTCCAATCTTCAGTGGAGAGACGATGCTCTCGCTCCAAATCCTTTCATTTGGAGGATTACTAAAGTGTGGCTTGATATCAGAGTGGAGGGAGGAGGAGGGGAGAGACAGAGCAGGGGAGCAGAATCACTATCCAAAAGTATCACAACATTTTCATGCAGCAGTGTAACGATAGCTCAGGTCATGATATGATTACATATAAAGTAGATTACATTGGATAAAAAAAAAATTACATTTGTTCGTTTGATATTTTGTATGGACACTGGCATTCAGCTTGAACAAATGAAAGAGAGTTTGCTCAGCCAAGTGATATGCTGCCTCAATATTTTGCCTCTTATTAAGCAAAGAGCCCTACATTTCATTTATACTGGCATTTAAAGCTCCTGAAAACTTAAGTATTTATCTAAAGCATTAAATACTGATGACTAAATAAGCAATAATCATGAATAAAACTATTATTATTATTATTAAGACTTTAACACTCAAAAAACTAATGTGCTTTATCAGAACTATGGGTGTGGTTTGATCAAATTTCACTGGTGATAAAAAGAACACCAGCATCAGATTCATATGTTGCCAAACTCTTACTGCTAACTCTGACTGCAATGAAGTACAAAACATAACCTTTTTCTGAATCAGCCCTTCCACCCACTTATAAAACCAGTGAGAAAAACAGAGAAAAGAAGAAAAGTGGGTCTGTCATGTAAAGTAACAAAAACCTTTCTAACCTTGGCACAAAACAGTTCATGTTCATGTAGGATCACTTAGAGTGAGAAAACATAAACTATATATGTATAGTTGGAAATATAGTATATGTATAGTCTTGTATATGTATAGTCTTATATAGTTATATATATATATATAACTATATATATCATATCCTTTAAACTGAAGGCAGCGTTTTCTGCTTGTGCGTGATGTTGCTCTTACTTTGACATTTAGGTGACATTCACATGAGCATCTGTAACATGTCAAAACATAGACAACGTTCTGTGTACATCAGCAAGACTACATTGATTGGTTCATGGATTGGTCTTGTCACTCTGGATATCAGTATCATTGAAACGCTATAGTGTAGTTCCACATCTCCCCACTAGAGGTAGACCCAGGCTCATTGGAGCAGCTCCGGGGGTCCCCTGCAGCCAAAACCCCTCCAGCCCTCCCCACCCAGCCCCAGAGCAGGTGCCCATGTCTGGGCCTGTCTGGCCCCTCACCCCCTTATCTGATTAATACTACTAATCCTGGAGGTGTTCCTGCCTGCCAGAGAGGCCGGCCACCAGACTGGCCACTTTCTTGCTCACAGTGACCAGGCCACAAGGCCCGGTTATGGGTTACACTGTGCCAACAAGGCCTCTTGGATCTCAGGGAGAGTGTTTGAGCTCCAACTTGGTTTGTTGTTCCTCATTACCTACATCCTACAGACAGAATCATGTACCCTGTGCACCATGCTATTTTTATTTTCTGTATAAATTCCAAATCAATCCCTTCATTTAGCTTTTTTGAAATTATTTTTTTCAGTCAGTCCCCTGGAGCATCATTACTACAATGAGAAACTCCATTTCTGTGAAGGTGAGTGCCTAACATTAAAAACTGAAAACTTTTATTCTTTTCAGATCACTGGTGTGTGTGTGGTGTGTGTGTGTGTTGTGGTGGGTGTTGTGTGTGTGTGGTGTGTGTGTTGTGTGGGTTGGCCCTAATCATCTTACCAGTGGATGACCATCTTCCAGAAATCGCTGTCCTAGTCAGTCAACTGTCCTACTTCCTCTATTCTCTCTCTCTTCCTCCCTCTCCTCCCTCACTCTCTCTGCTTTTCACCCAGTAGTGGAATACAAACACCCTTATCAGGAGACGAACACTCATCCCCCTGCCCTCCCCTCCCTCCTCGCTCTCCTGACCCCCTCCCCACCCTCATTTGCATGCATCTGTTTACCTCCTCTTCCCACTCACTCTTAATAGAGAATCCCACTCCTTAATGGTTCGTTTCAGTAGAGATGAAAAGAGAGACTATGAAATGAACAGATAGGCGAGTGATTGCACCATATTGAAAAAAAGCAGTCCTTCCTCTCCTTTTTTTCACCCACTGAACTTCATGTATGTGCGTGGGCAGAAGCAGATGCACAAATTCAATTAGCTTGTTTTTTTTTCATATCCTTCCCTTCCTCTGTTTAACCACTAGAGATGGAGGGGGAAAGGGAAGGCTGGGAAATTAGAATGACAGGGCCTTGGTGTGGTACGTGTTGAGATACGTGCTGCTAACTGTGAGGTTGCGTTTGGGAGATAACTCAAGAGCAGCAAAAGTCCTCACGATTAAAAATTTGGTTCTCCTCAAGGAGCAGTGTGTGTGTGTTTTTGAAGGGACATTTTGCTTTCAGTCAAATAATTTCACTCCTTTGGTGCAAGCTACATCAATCTGTAAGCAGCAGACTTCAGACTTTTGCTGCTTTGGGGATCTGGTAGTCAGAAAAATAAAACTTCTAACTACATCAGTGTAGTTTGTACATGGTTTCAGAGTGGGTTTTTGAACATAAAAGTAAATAAGTGAAAGCTACTGGTATCAAGAGTAAGCAATGTTGGTGTAAGTTTTGATCATTTGATTGAATTTGGTAATATTAAATTCTTCCATAATTGCTTAAATAACCGTGTTGCTCGGTGGCCTGTTGGTTCCTGTCAGAGTTTCTGGCTCAGGGTGCATCTATGGGGAACCTTGAGTACCCTTTCGTAAAGCCTCATTTGGGCTTTTGCTGTTCGTGGGATCAATATGTGAAACTCCTTAGCCACAGAGCTTAAAATGGATCATGACAGAGATCATTTTTAACTCAAGTTGAAGTCACTCATTTAGTCTTGAATGATCTGATGTCACTGAGTTTTATGGTAATTTTATTGAATCACCCTCTCTGTCTTATGTGTGAATTTTCTTGTTCAGGCTTGTGTATTTTAAAAGGCTTTGCAAACTAGCCAAGGATATAAAGTTGTGGTGATTAGCATTACTTCATGCTATATACTGTACAAAATAAACATTAAATGAATAAATAAATAAATACTTTTATACATTTTTTGAGAATGGAAGTTGAATTAATGCAGCTTCTCAGTTTTTTTAACAGTAGAAGAAGAATATGTAGTATAAAACTGATATTAGTGCTGCAATTAACAAATATTTCATAAAACTTGTTGATTATCTTTAAATTATTTTTAGTCTATAATTCGACAGAAATTTAATTAATTGCAATTTTCCAACGCTCAAGGTGACATCTTCAATTTGCTTGTTTAGTCTAGAACCAAACAGTAATCAATATGACAACAGAGAAAACCAGCAAATCATAACATTTGAGAAGCTGCTGAATGTTTGGCCCTTTTGCTTGCTAAATGGTTTGAACGCTTATTATCAAGATAGATATCGTACCAATTGTGGTTTAGGATTTGTCTCTGTGGTTATAATGGAGCCTAAAGTTAATGAGCGCGACCATTATTCTGTTTGTATTCAAGAATAGATTCAGCATTGTAATGTGGAATGCCTGCTTAATGTACCTGCATCCCTTTATTCCACATGACAGTCTTGTCACCACCCTTTATTCCTCATGTCACCCCTTTTCATTCTCAGATCTCAACCCAGATATAAAGTTCAACCCTTTTACCCTTTCTGGTTCTTGGTGCCACATTCTTCCGAATTCCCATGAGGGCCTTTTTTAAAAAATCTTATTTTCCTCTGTCTGTTTTTTAAAAGTTCAGGTCACATGATCTTTAGATTCTTTTCGTGCTTTTCCTCTGTAGCTCGAGGCTATTCGTGGACCCCCAGGAACCGCCGACCGGAGAAGCTACGTGATTCGCTGAAGGAGTTGGAGGTACCCGCCTCCTCTGTTAAACCTTCCACCACCACCCTTCCCGGCCTCCCCCTGTCTTCTTCCTCCCTCTGGGGATTTTCGGGAGTTTTCCCTTTCCGAAACGGCCGATTGATTAACAAATAGGGGCATTCTCTCTCTTTTCTCCCTCTCCCTGTCGTTCCCGTTTGTTCTCCTCTCTCCCTCTCCTCTCTCATCACCTCTCTTTTGGCCGAGCTCTGTCATCAAGGGGGATATTTGAGGGGATCAGGGGGCTGCAGGCTGCCCCCTCATCCCTTCTCTTCCTCCCTCTCTCCCTCCCTCCTTCTCTTCATCCTTCTTCCCTTCCTCTCCCCTCATTCATCCCCCTCTTCCTCCGCCTCTTCCTCCCCCCTCATCCCCTCTGTACTTGTGGCAGTACAGACCTAGCTTTGTTTGCTGGAACCTGTCTGCGGCTGTTGCACACACACGCACACACTCCCCGCCCATCCACCTCCTTCCTCTCACCCGTAACCATTGTCTGAAACTAGAAACACCCCATCTCACCTCCACACCCCACCTTCCTCCTCCTTCTCCGTCCCTTTCTCCTCCCATCCAATCACCCCAGCTGGGTTTGGAATGTGGCAGGACTGACTGACCTTACACACACACACACACACTAACATGCACACAAGCAGTCCTTACCTGCATCTTCTTTCAACTCTCTCCCACCCCTCCATGAGCAGGAACTGTAGCAGTGGCCACCTGTGGTGGCAAGTGTCTGGTACTATGTACCACCAAGATAATTAATGCAAATATGGGCAGCACTGGCATTACAGAAAGATGGAAACTTACTTAAATGTTATACCAAAATTCAGCATTCAATGGCATTTTTTCCGGTTCATTTCCAAACATGAAATATACATTTTCAGTCAGTTCTGAAAAATAACAGAGATAAACTACATGTTTAAACCCAGGTGTGTGTTGCTCTCAGCATCAGAACTGTGGTTATTTGTCACACTGTGTGCTGGGACCTCAGTTTGCCTCTGTCTGTTCCATTTTTCTCACTGTCTTTCTCTTTGTTTATCTATAATTCTCATTCAGGAACTGTTGCAGACCAACACCTGCGTTCACACCAGATGGAAGAAAAAGCATTGCTGCCAGGTACCCACCTTCCTCAGCCTACCACCTACTACTACTACGCACGCACGCACGCACGCACGCACGCACGCACACGCACACGCACACACACACACACACATACTTACCTACCTCTTTTCAGGTTCAGATAGTGGCAGAAGCTGAACAAACCTCCCATGGTCCACCCAAACCTGGTCTCAGATAAAGAGCTTCACTGGACTGTAATACCAGTTACCAGGTCATTTCAAGTTAATAGCAACATCTGAAAGAATGCAATCACAATTATATTGTTATATAATTATAATATTTTGCTAATTCTCCAGTTGCTTGCCCAGGAAAAAACAAGCCTCTCTTTTTTGGATGTGTAAAGTAATTTCTTTAACTAAACAAGACAAGTTTGTTTTGTCAAGTGGGGAGGGATTCCTCTTCCAGGACAGACAGACATGCAGTAGGTGTTATGTGTATAGAATTGACCAAAATTACAATATGGAAAATCAGGAGGTCTCAGGTGATGCTTTTGATCACTTTCTACTTACCCACTGAATGCACAGATGCAAATATTACGAGTTCAGATCACAGGAGAATTGACTTTTAACCCTCATTAAGGAGTTCTGGGTGAGATGCCTACTTGATAAACTCATACAGTTTTATTCATTTCATTCTGTTAAAAGTCCAGTGTGGTTGGATTTTTTTTTCTTTCCAGGCTTGAGTTTTAACAACTTTTACTACCGAATCTCTGTCCACTGTAATCTTGTAAGATTTAGTACGTTTGTTTTTTTGTGTCCGTGTGTGTGTGCGTGTGTGTGTGTGTGTGTGTGGTACCTTGCAGATGATGCTGAGCAGCGGAGTACTGGTGACCCTGACCCTAAATGGACCACAGCTCGAACAAGTGTGTGTAGACCGCACCTTAGTGGGCCGACTACCAGCCAACACTGTGACTGATGGTTAGTTACAGACACACAAACACACACACACAGTAAATAACAATGATTAAGTGTTTTGTGTTATTTACCATTCACCTTTAGGGAGCTCAGGAACTTTTTCCCTTTGGTATACAATATACACTGTGTATATATGTGTTTATTTCTTTAAAAATAAATATTTATTACTCTTTAATGCGCTGGGTACCAATGCTGGATTAAAGACATTTTTCACAGTGGTTTTGGTTAC